TTAACACATTCCAGAGGGCCCACTGCATCCCACGGGCAAGTCTTCTCTGCGAGTCTCGGTGTGCACAGCTGTGAAATAGCTCGTTTCGTATTTTCCCTCCCCCCTCTCCTTTGGCTCTGAGGAGGAGGGCCTGGGTAAACAACACTGGAGGTGCAGGGCAGGGGAAGCGACGCTCACCAGAGAAAGAGCCCCATCAGCGTGGAGCGGATGCATTTGTAGCCACTCTGCTCGTTGGAATCCATACAGAATTCCATTATCAGTTCTGGACAGCAGCTCAGGGACCATCTTGTCCCATGCCCATTTGACAGATGAGAAAGCTGGAGCCGGAAGAGAAGCAGAGGGAGGAGAGCCAGGGCTGGACTCTGGCTCCTAACTCCCAGGGCAGTGCTCCTTCCTAACACCACAGAGTGGAGCCTGCAGAGACGATGCTGCATGCCCTTTTGAGGGACAGGCAGAAGCTCAGGGCAGCTCTGCCAGCCACCTGGGGCTACACAGCACGAAGAGTCATACCCAGACACTACTGACTACCCTCCTTCTTGATGGGCAGGGTAAGGTTGAAATCTGGAAGACATGGGAGCAAACCAGGTAGGGTGAGGAGGGCCGAGCCTACAGCCCCCACCAGCTAGCTCCATTATGCCACACCCTGGGCTCCTGGGAAGACAGGAGCTCCTCAACTCCTCCAAACAGTGACTGTGAGACCTTGAGACAGTCATTTCACCCCACGCTACTGAATGGGCCAATAATAGAGCCTTCTCCCAAGAGGCCGTGGTGGGGCTTAGATGAGAGAAGATATGGAAATAAAAATAGTCAACAGTTATCAGGTCGACTTCCCGCATGCCAGGCACTGCTCTAAGCATTTCCTAGGTACATTATCATTTAACCATCACCACAATGGTGTGAGGCAGGCCTTATAAATACCCCCATTTTCCAGATCAGGAAATGCGCGCACAGAGAATCACCGGGAAGTGGTAGAGCATGGATTTGACTGAATACGGGCTGACTCCACGCCCCTCTGTCTCAAGCCCCCTGGCAAAGCCGCTTCTGTGGAGGGTAAGTGTTCAGCACAGTACTATGCGCATGCAGCTGCTCAGCAATGTTGCTGTTGATAGAATAGTAATTATTGTTGTCCTTGGGGAAATGTGCCACTAGCGGTGCCATCTTCCCCAAAGTCAGGAGAAGGAACACCCTGACATGGTTTATGGAACTTTATCATTTCTTCTCTTAAGAAGTAAGGGAGTAGATAGCAAGTGCTCAAGATAAATGCTTGGTGAATCGAAACATGTTATGGTCTTTTGGGAAAGCACAAAAAGAAAGGGTAAATAATTTTTTAAAAAAAATACCTATAGCCCTGCCACCCTCCTTTCACTTTTCTGTGGGTGTTTATTTTCACTTTGGTTCATAGTTACAAACAAGCCGGGAGAGATTTCTAGATTCTGTAACCTCCACTTAACACGAGCTTTCCCCCCATACTATAACTTTTAATGGCTGGAGAATATTCTATCTAGCGGTCTTCCTCACAACAATCACCCATTTTCTTTAACTTGGGGGCTTTATCTGATGGGACTGAGAGAAATACGTTCCTAACAGTGGGCTTTTCTTTTCTTTTTAAAACATTTTTATGGATGTCAAAGAGGAAGGAAGAGGGAGAGAGAGAAACATCAGTGATGTGAGAGAATCATGGATCGGCTGCCTCCTGCACGCTCCACACTGGGGATCAAGCCCACATCCCGGGCATGTGCCCTGATAGGATATCGAACTGTGACTTCCTCGTTCCTAGGTTGACACTCATCCATTAAGCCTCGCCGGCCAGGCAGAACAATGGACTTCCTGAAACCAGTCAAGTGGTGCTGGAGAAGCCTTGGGGACGGAACACCCTTCTCAATGTCCAAGCGATGAAACCCTGCTGGCCATTGTGGATTTCACCAATGATTAAGCACAGGTATTTTTGAACCTCGCCTCTGGGCTGAAGACTTTCTTATCTACTAAAGATGCCCACACCGTCGTCCACAAGTCCTGATGAGGGAGAGTCCTGTCCCAGCTCTGTCCCTAAGTCACCATGGACCCACCGTGTCTTGTGAAACTCTCTGGGCTCTGTTTTACCATCTCTTTGTAGGAGCTTGAAATGAGAGGATCATCAGGCAGGTGAGCTCATGGGCACCCACATCCCTTATCTACCTCACTGGACAAGGCACCCCTAGAGGACAGAGACCCCAGAACCCAAACTCCAAACTATGAATACACTGTGAATAACTAGCAACAACTTCCTCTATGGCCCAAGCTCATTCCTGCCTCAGAGCCTTGGAATTCATGAAGCCTCTGCCTGGAGCACTCTTTCCCCGGCTCCTCCCAGGGCTGGCTCCATCTCATCGCTCAAGTCTGGGCTCAGATGTCACCTCTTCCAGGAGGCCCTGATGACCCTGTCCAACGGTACCATCACTTTCCATTGCCTACCCTGCTTTATGTTCCTCACAGCACTAAACAATTATTTGGAAGGATATTGTGGACTTCAGTGTTTCCTTGTTCAGTGTCCATCCATTGTCCCTTGAATGTCACCTCCACGACAGTAGGGACAAGGACTGGCTAGGTCACCACTTATCCCACAGAACCCCACAAAACATGTGGTAAACGGATCCTGAATGCTCCAGTCACAACTGTATACATAGAACCCACATGTATTGGGCACCTACTATATGCCAGGCACCATGCTAACTAACTTTTTGTAATGCTCCCAACAACCCCTGAGATAGCAACAATCATTACTAACATTTTATAAATGGGGAAACTGAGGCACAGATCAGTTGAATAATTTTCCCAAGGTCCCATGGCTAGTATGTAGAGGCTAAACAGTGTGATGAGCCAAACATGGGGCCGAGTCCCTGTCCTCACGAGGCCCAGTGGCTAATGGGTACGCTGGCCTGGCCCACAGTGTGGGAAGTCAGGGTCTTTCCTGGAGGAGGACAAGCAGGGGTGTGCTAGGGTGAAATGGAGGGAAGGACAATCTGACAGAATGGAGGCCAAGAGACAAAGGAGAGAGGAGTACACAGGAGGGTCTAGAAGGAGGCCTGTGTGGCCAGAGTAGGGAATATGAGGTGTGCCCTGAGTCAGAGGGTGTGGCCACCTCAACCCGCACTGACTGAAGTTGAAAAAGTCCCAGAGGACAAAATAGGAGGCAAGATGGCTGGGAAGATGGGCAGGGTGCCCCAGATCCCAAGAAGCCTTGGCAAGATCGGGGGTGAAAGTTTTATTCTGAGGTTTCGAAGCCACACCTCAAAGACTGTGTATGGCCCTAACTCAGCGATGCCCAAAGACCACCCGGGGCTCCCGAAATTTCTGCTGACTCACTGTGGGGCCTTGGGCATCTCCAGGCCCTCTCGGGGTCTGAGTGTCCCAACTGGCACTGGATGACCCAGTCCCTGCTCCCTCAGCCTCGAATTGCATAAACAGAATACTATTGACTAACGAGATCGTGGCATTCCTAGAGTTGGATTTTGGGGCTCTTGTGCACTGGCCATCCCATACGGTTGTGGCCAGCTCATCGCGATGGCACTTTGCCAAGCAGCTTCTGGGCTGGGGGCTGAGTTCTCAGACCCCTCGATCCTGTCAAGATATGGGAACTCCCCCAGGTTTTGGCTGGATAGATGGGGGGTGGGGGGGTTGGAATGATGGGGGGGTGAAGGGGTGAGGGGGTGTCTGCTCAGATCCTCCCAGAGACAAAGGAGCTGACCTGCAAAGAGTTCCAGCGGGAGCCCCGCTCCCCCTCCCTTCCCCCCCCTCTCCCTTCCCAGTCCACGTGTCTCTATTGTCTGTTCCCGGCTTCAGGGAAAGACACAGCCTCGGATGTGTCAAAACCACCACCATCATCACCCCCACCCTCCGGCAGCAGGGAAATTAATTACTGGACGGTTTTCACTTCCTCTTGCAGCGCCCGCCTGAGCTAGGCACCGGAACAGGACCGACTGAGCAGGGCAAGCGGCGCATGGAGGACTTGCTCTCCCCGCCCCCCCTCCAGCAGTCTGGGAGAAGAAAGTTGAACCCCCAAAACCCAATAGGGGGCTTCCATGGGAAGCTGAGCTGGGGTAGTGGGACGACTTCCTTTAGTTAAAGCTGAGTGTCCACATTGGTCACTTCAGAGCTGGGGGCGAAGGAGAGGATTGGAGGCAGGAGGGTCCCTGCCAGCGAGCTCACACTCTTTTCTTTGCACCCCTTTCCTGGGTCCCCATGTGTGTGAACTCCGCCTGGTCGGAACTGCTCTCCCTGCTCTCCCCTCAGCTTCTCCCTCTATCTTGCACTTTTCTTTTCCTTTCTTTGCATGGCTGGGGGGCTTTCTTTTTGTGTGTCTGGGTCTCCCTTTGCCTCCCACGGGCGTGTGAGTGTGCGCTGCTACTTCTCTCCGTCTTTCCTCCGCTTTTCTTGCGTCTTTTTGTTCTGATCTCGGTCTCTCTGCTTCTATTTCCACCTCTTTCGGTGTGTGTGTGTGTCTCATCCTCTGCATGCCTCTTTCTGCCTTTCTCCGTGATCCTCCTCTCTCTTCTCCCCACTCCATACCTACTTCTTTCTCTGTCTCTCTCTCCTCTCACTCCCCTCCTGCCTGCCCACTGCTCCCTGCGCCTGGCCTGCCCCCACCGCCGCCGCCGGTTCAGGGGAACGTGTGCGGAGCGATTGTCCTGGGGGACATTTGATGGATTAGAGCGCTGAACAGTTCCATTGCTAGGGGACCACCTGATCTCCTCCAGCTTGCGTCCCATATAAAGCCGGCAGCCGGAGTGCTGAGCACAGCTCCAGCAGCCAGTCGCCTGTCTCCGCGCCGCCGCCGCCAAGCCCCGAGCGAGAGCCGGAGCCGAGCCGAGCCGAGCCGGGGCCGCCGCCGCCGGGGCCGGCCCGCCGCCCGCGGGGAGCTGTCCAGTGCTGAAACCCTGCGCAGCAGCCAATCGCGCCCGGCCGGCCGCCTCCCCCACCGGCCACCGCGCGAGTGCCCCCGCCGAGCCCCCGCCGGCCGCACCATGCCGCGCTCCTTCCTGGTGAAGAAGATCAAAGGGGACGGCTTCCAGTGCAGCGGGGTGCCGGCCCCCACCTACCACCCCTTGGAGACCGCCTACGTGCTGCCAGGAGCCCGGGGGCCGCCCGGGGACAACGGTGAGTGGGGACCCGGCGGGGTGCGGGTGGGGGGACGGTGGAGAGGAGGGGGTTCGGGCTCTCCCCAACTCGGGCTTCCAGGAGGGGGTTGCGCGCGGAGGGGAGCCCCGGGAAGAGACTTCCCGGGTGCGGTGTGCGCCTTGGGGCTTCCAAAGGAAGGACTGGGGCGGGTGGGGCAGGAGCTAGGTCCGTACAAAGGGAAAGTCGCAGGGTCGGCCCATCCCCAAGACAGGCACCAGACCGGACTTTGAAAGTTGTGGCCCTAGAAGGGGCGAGAGTGAGGGATGTGAGAGAAAGGAAAGAAAGGGACTCACGCACATGCAGGGCTAATGCTGGGGAGCTAATGCACAAGGCGGTCTGAGGTTCCACGCTCCCGGGCTGAGTGAAGGAAACGGGCTGCCTGAGTGTGGTCCCCTCCGGGAAGGGGAGCCAACCAGGACTACCAGTCCCCGGGGTGATGGGGTTGGCTCCCTGGGGAGAGCTGGGGGCGACCTCCTTCCCTTTAAACCTGCTCCCCCTGGCGATGCCAGACAAGTGCTCTCAGGCCCCCTCCCTCTCTCAGCAACTCTTTTGTTACCCTCAGCCACATGCCTGCCAGCGGGCAGGGCCTGTCCTGGGGACTGCGGGGGGGGGGGGGGGGCGGGAAAGAGGGGATTTCTAGGAGGGGTTCCCCCAAAGTGGCTCCTGTGTGCCCCTAGGCAGCACCCCCTCCCCATCCCAGATCCTCATCCTCCTCCGGAGGCAGCCCTGCTGCTCCTTGTAAGTCCCCCACCCCCAACACGGTCCATCTTTTCTCAGAGCAAGTTCCTGCGAGGACAAGGGTTTGGGGGACAAGAGAGGTCATTCAGGCCCAGAGGAGGGTGATCTCTGAAGGGTGTGAGGAAGAGCCAGAGACTGCTTCTGTGGCCCCTATCCCCAATCAAGGGGATCACAAAACTGGGCTCCACTGATGGGTCCCACCAGGGCAGGTGTCTGAAGAAGAGGCAATCAGAAATCTGACATCACATGTGGCGTGAGCTTTGGGGTGTGTGTGTGTGTGTGTGTGTGTGTGTGTGAGAGAGAGAGAGAGAGAGAGAGAGAGAGAGAGAGAGAGAGGAAGAAAAAAGAAAGAAAGAAAGAAAGAAAGAAAGAAAGAAAGAAAGAAAGAAAGAAAGAAAGAAAGAAAGAAAGGGCTGAGGATAAGAGGGAAGCTGGTCCGGCAAAGGCAGGAGCCCAGGAAGGTGGGAGCTCCTGCTTCGGGGATTTCCAAGCACTTCACCCACATTCCATCACTACACCAAGCCAGGTAGCAAGAGGGCGCTGGGCAAAGGGCTCTGTGACCTCATCAAGGTCAAAGAAATCAGGGAGTGATCAGGAATACAGCGGCAGTCCCTCAGCCCTGGCCTCACCCAGACTGCCGAGAGGACCAACCCCCTTTCTTGGCGCCCACACACTCCTTATTCTACCGTCTCTTTTCTTGACCCCAGGGCCTCTCGGGGTCCAGGACAGAAGCCAGAAATGTGGCTAGGCTTGGCTGAGTGCTGGCAGGACAGAGGGTGGACCTGGGGCCATGCCAGGGCCAGGGAGTGTGTGCGCTGGGAGCTGGGTAGAAACTGAAATGTCTGCAAGACTGCAATGTGGATCTCACGGGGACGGACAAAAGCCCCGAGCCCCCGCGAGAGGCGCCCTTGGTCCTGCCTCTGGGCCCGTTGAGGAAACCCAAAGAAGCCCAGAGAATTTCTCATGCAGAGCCAAAACTGCAAGTTGTTCCTCAGGAGGGAGGCAGGAGTGCCTTGTCTTGAATTCAGTCCTGAAGAGCTTACAATGAGCCCCTGAGTGAAAGGTGGAGAGCAGCGTCAGGGCAAAGCCATCAGCAGAGGTGTCCCTGTGGAGGTTCTGGAACCACCTCTCTCTTTGGCCCTTTCCCCAAAGGGCTCCAGACCAGCTCCCTGGCCTGCAGGGAATCCCAAAACTGTTCCGATGGCCTGATACCTGGCCTGGAACTCTGGGAGGCCTGAGCTCCAGTTCTCTGACTTGCTGTGTGACCTTGGGCAAGTGCCTTCCCTTCTTCTCTGGTCCTCCACCTCCCCAGCAGCAGAAGAGTTTAGATAGCATGAACTAAGTATCCTCCCAACTTTGACAAGCTCAGCTTCTATGAAGGTCAAGTGTGGGAGGCACTGAATGCCTGGGTGAGGGTCTAGCAGCATGCAGGGGGCCATTGTCAGGGATTCTCTAGGGCTCTCTTTACCATCTGATGCCTGGCTGGGGGGGGGGGGCGGTTAGAGGCCCAGCATGGCGTTTTTCTTGGCTTCAGTCTTTGCAGCCTGCCCCATGGTGAAGACAGGCACCCTGGTCTGGCTGCCTTGGCAGTATCTGTATAGACAGTTGGTGCCAGAGACCAGGAGGTGACCCTTCAAGCTGGTACAGCCAAGGAAACACAGGGTCTGCTTTATCCTGTTTTTAGGGGCCTCTCCCATCCCTGGGGTGTGGCCAGATGAGGCAGTGAGGGTTCTCTCACTCCACAGTCAGGAGGGGCGCTGGGGGTCCTTGGAGAGCCTGCCAGTTCCTAGCGGTCCGTTGTCTCAGCTCTGCCGGAAATAACCTTGCTGAGCGTTTGAGGGAAGTGTGAAAAATTGCTGAGCTGACGTTTTTCTCTCCCAGCATGTGTAAGTGTGCTGGGTAAACAAGGAGAAAGAGAGGAGGGGGGGAGGTGAGGAGAATGAAGGAGGAAAGGAGGGAGGGGAAAGGAAGGGGGGGAGAGGGAGGGAAGAAAGGAGGGAGTGAGGGAAGAGGGGGAGGGCCTGGGGCTGGAGATAGTTCCAGTTATAAGAAAGATCCTCTTACAAGCCATTCTTACAGCAAGGGCTGCAGGGTCAGGAGGAGGATGGTGGGAGGGGGAAGGAGGGAGGGGGCAGTTAGGAGGAGGGCTGTGAATGTGGAAGGGAACCACAGCTCCTAATGGATGAAGATGCAAGACCCCAAATGAAAAAGGTGTACCCCCCCAGCGCCAGGAATGCCTGGGAGGGCTGGAGGATTCCTGGAGGAGACACGCACGCGCGCGCACACACACACACACACACACACACACACAGCACAATGTTCATTTTTTTTTTTTTTGCCTTCCTGCTCCCTTCCTCTTCCGCTTCCTCGGGCCCAGCAGAGGGTGCAGCAGGTGTCTGGTCTCCAGGCTCCCCCCAACCACAGAACCCCTAAACAGGGAGAGGCAGCCTCCACATGAGGAAAGCTCCAGGTCCCTCTGCAGGGCTCCCCGAGGAAGGAAGATGAGTTCCAATTTCACCGCCCTCTCCAACAAAATGCCTCTTTCTGCTGCTCCTCCTGCTTCTCCCCTGTTTTCCGCCTCCCCCCTGGGTGACTCTGAGCAGATTCATTCTGTGAGTGATGCCAACTCACACCCTCCTCACCCTCTCAGTGCCTGTCCCTCCATCTCCATCAAGCGCACTCACTCCTTCACAGGCCCGGGCTCCTCTCCTCGGGGATGCTGGGGGATCTCGCCATCCCAGAAGACACTGCTGCCTACCCTTCTGCACAGCAGCGGTCTCTGTGGGCCCCAAAGGAATGTCTTCCTTCCTTGGGCCTTAGCTCTGCACTCCAGCGGGGCCCCAGGTCCCCCTTCCTCTGCACCCTGTCCTGGCCCTGCCCGCCCCCTGCCCCCCACTCCACACGCACTCCTTCAGAGTGCATCCGACCCAGGCAGAAGAGGGATCAATGCCAATCCAATAACACAGCTGTCTGCCCTCCACAGCTACATTAAGCCTCCCCTGCTAGCAGGCCGAGGAAGCACTCCTACCTCGCCCATGGGCTTATCCAGCTGACCACATTACACCAGTGCCCACTTCCTCTCGCTCCCTCTGATGGCGCCGGGGAGTCGCTCCAGGCAAGGCCTGGGAGCCTGGCTGAAAGGCCCCAGATGTACACCCCACTCCTCAGAAAGGTCATCTGGGGAGCAGGGGTACAAAAGAACTGCCCCAATATTTTGGAAGAGGGAGCCCAGAAAAGGTTGGGGAGGTGCCCAGTGACACAGAGCAGACCCATCTGGGTGTGTTTAACCATGGCTTTCCCAGGCATCTTGGTCTTGGTCCAGGTCCAAGATCCAGCCCAATGTCCAGGTCCAGATCTGAGGTCCAGGTCCAATGTCCACATTCAACCTTAGGTCTAGGACTAGGCCTGAGGTCTGGGTCCAAGGTCAATGTCTAAGGTTAGAGGTTCAGTCCAAGATTCAGAACAAACCCATGTCCAAGTTCAAATTTTGATGTCCAGGATTCGGTTCTGATCAATGTTCAGGGTCCAGAATAAAAAACACAGCTCCAATTTTTAGCCCAAGGTCATGTCCAGGGCCATTCTCAAGGCTAGCTAGGTTCAAGTCTTAGACCCATCATTAGTTTTTTCTGTGGCTTTGGACTAATCTCCCTACCCCAGCCTCAGTTTCCCTCTCATGAAATCAAGCAGTTGAATTTGATTTCTCTGAGCTCTTTCTGAGGATCCAGAAATCTGATTTGCCTAAGAATTAGTCTGTGACAGTGTAGAACAACAGGGCCCATGTGGGATATGAAATCTGGGGCTCATGGTTCCCCCTAAAGCCTGCAACAAAGGGTACACCTGGGGCCCAAGCTGAGTGGAGCCTTTGAACAGGGCGGGCAGGATAGTATATCCAATCCCTATGTCAGCACAGCAATTTATACAGGGTGGGTGTCCCCCCAAAAATGTATATACGCTTTAACAGCTGACAGTTCAGTTTTGAAAATGAAATGCATTTTAATACACACTGCCTTTATAATTATTCAACATGTGTGTATACATTTTGGGGACACCCTCTCTATCCCAAAGACTCCACGCACACACATACACCGCGGACAAAAGACAATGAGCACACGGGACTACTGCCTCCGACCTACAGAGGCAAACCAAGGGCTAGGAGGGCCCAGGACTTGCCCAAGGTCACAAGGGCAAAAATGGTGGACCCTGTCACACCATCCTGGTGGGTGCTTCACCCACATTCTAGA